ATATAGAATTGTAAAGATTCATTTAGGATAAATTTGTGCATGAGCGAATCATATTTACCCTCTTTGCGCCCTAGCAAACAAGTTTCCAAGCCATTAGCTCATCTGTAATCCAACCACTGAGATCTTTAATTAGTATATTATTCGATATGGTCGTACTTCATTTATCATATTTAACCTAATTAATTAATTAGTGCAACTTGCTTATCTTTTTGAATTTCTCAAAATTTATTATTCCCGAGTCACAGCAAATATGGTTTTTTACTTCAAAATTTCCCTTAATTGTTATTTTTTATTTTTAAGGTAAAAAAATATTTTCTTAGTCTAACTTATTATTATGGCCTAATTTTAAATATCACCTGATTATCACCAAAATTATTCTTTTTTTAAGTGTAAATAAGTGAAAACATAGATTATCTATTAATTTTTAATCTATAAAAAAGATTAAATTTTTTTTTTGACATCTTAAAGCAAATACTACATTGATAAAACACAATAAAAATGTTAGGCATATAAATCAATACCCATTAACTCTTATTGATGCATTTAAAAATCATGAGGTTTGTGCCAACCAAACCAAAGCAAACAATATTATTGGAGAATGTTTGGGCGTTTTGGTGTGGAATGATACAAAAGGAATCTTTATTTTAGGACAAAAAGAACAACATGTGGAATTTATATAATTAACTATTTTTTCTTTCATTTATTTTTTTGTGCTTCAAACTCTTGCTCTTCACTCTTAATTACCAAAAAAAAAAAAGAAACCTTGCTCTTCACCTAATTTAATTTCTACTACTTTTCACCTAATTAAATACTTAATTATAGAATCCTCTGTGCTTCAGATGATTAAGGAAAAAGGAGCAAAAGTTGGGAAATAATTAGAAAGATTATTAGGTTATAGTTTGCAAAAGGTGTTGGGATGAAGTTACATTAATATAAGTGTTATATTAATTCTCAATAAATTATTTTAGAATTTTAATAATTAATATAATACTCATTTTTTAAAATCACCTCTTAAATTTTAAAATGTGTGACTGAAAATTGATATCAAAATTTTTTACAGTTACACTAATATAAGTTGATCTCTACTCTTGCAAAATATATGATATGCATATCTGCATGTCGAAAAAGGAAGGAATATACCTCAAAAAAATAAAAAATAAAAAACAAAAAAGAAGGAGGGAATATGTCAAGTAGATTAATTAATTGATACGTATTTAGTTTGAACATTTGCTCTTTTGTTTTGTTTGAAGAGTAGACAAGCAGTTTATTTTGAGGGGAAAGATCTTGCTGTTTATATATGTATTTATGTGTGTATGGAGTCAACAAGCTATATATAGGTGCTTGCTGTTTACGTTATAAAATAATTAATAGGCTAAATAATGGTGAAAGGGAGGTAATACATGCATAGTTATTTGTGATTTGTTTTGGTGTATCCTTATTTTTTTGTGTGTTTTCAATTTGAATCTAATAATAAAATAGATAATAAAAGTTGTTTTTGATAAATACAAAATAAAAAGGTATATATTGATATATGCATATACAATTTAAATTTATGTGTAACGACAACATTATTGAAAAACCTATCATGATTTTCATATTGTCGACTAGTTATTTGAAATTGAATTATATTTCTATATATAATCATGATTTATAATAACCACATTGCCCCATCCCTTTTGGGGTATATTTTGAAATTTTGAGAAATGCCAATTGGGGAAATCAAGAGCCAATAATCATCCTATAGAAATGCTAACGACAGCAAAAATGAAGCATCGGTAGCCATTCTCAACCATATAACTAAACGTCCTTATATAAATACATTGTTTGAAGAGAAAATTTATTCGTTTGGTTTTAATAATGTGTTGGATTAATTAAACCTATGGTTAATTATATCATACGAAAGTACCATGGAAAAGTTTGAAAGAAACTAAACTTTATATGTATGTCATCTATATTCCAACGACTTGAAGCCATATATACGCAATTCCAAGAATAATCATGTTTTCCACTATGCTAGTAAAAAGCTAGCATGTGATAATGTTTCACGTATGCTCAGAACACAATCCTAAGATTCTCCACAGAAATCAGTTGGTCTTGCATATATATGCATGGAGGTTGACATCCAAGAACAGCATAAACATTCTATAATATTCTTTGAAAAATAGAGACGTACAGAAATCAGTACATACACCGTCACGTATGTGCTGACTTCACCATCATATTCATATTATATCTGCATTGCCAGGTCGCCGGAGAGTTCAGATTCATTAGAATTTATAAACCAACAGAGAAACACAGGCGGTGAACTCGCCCACAACCGACGCAAAAGGGAAGGACCATTTCCTCATGGGTAGGGAAATCATGATCGGAGTAGACACCCAAGCTATGTAACTTGGGCGTGGGTCTTTAGCCGAACTGGAATGTCCTTTTATTTATTATTATACATTTCTAAAAATTTGAGATTATTTTATCATTGGAGTACTGCATATCTATAGGAATTTATATTTTGTAATTTAATGTGTAGTATAATTTATAAATTTATTACAATAAATATTATTTTATTAAAAATATTTCAATAATTTTATAAAATAAATTATATTTTTAATATATAATTTATCTTATAAAATATTTTTTCATTTGTGTATATATATTTTTTGGATCATTATATTTCACTAAGGATTAATTTCATGCAGTACACAAAACACACGATATTGGGTTCGGGGACTGGTCCCGGGTTGAACATTGATTAGTTGAACCCACGTGAATCATGACCCTTCGACCAATAAGAGATTTGATGTGGTAGTATACTTACTTTGAAAAGATAACAAATCTGGCCGGAGGAGGCACATTAAGGATATTGAAATTTTCCATGCTCTCGGCTTCAAAAGTAAGGATAAGTGTCTATCATCAGCACAATGATATTAGTGCATAGACCAAGACAAAATGGACTTTAATCTCCAAATAGTGGGTGAGTGTCCTTTTTATTTATAAATTATATATACAGCCAACGAGTCGTCTTCTAGATGCGGAATTGCTTGGTTTTGACGTTATGGTATGGACATTAATTGGGTTGATTATTAGGTCAAGGAACACTTTAACTTTTTACAAACCAAATTAGATATTATTCGTTTTGAGTCTTTTGGCTCATTAAGATTTATGGTTTTCAAAAGGCATGCATTTATTTTCATTCATGGTATTGACTTCGATAATTTACTTTAAAAGTTCATTTTTATGTGGCGTGCAATTAAATCCAAAGACTTGAAAATTTTTATTAATTATTAGCAGGTAAGACTCTATTAACCAATAAGAAGAGTTTTTTCTTTTTCTTTTTATTTTGGGGAGGGGGGAGGAGAAGAAAGAAATTAACCATGAGTATTTAAGTATTACTCCAACCCTCATACATAATGATCTGACTATGAATAAAGCCAAAAAACATGGCCCCAACAACTACACGAGAAATGTTAGGATTGATCAAGTCAGGAAATTAACATGGAGCACTGTATATCCAACTCAACTTATAACTTATAAGTTGTTTCTGTCAACCCTCTGTTTTGCAAAGAAGTATCATTTTGTTTTATCCTAGATCGATTAACAGCAGGTCGTTGAACAACCACATATGGTTTGGAAAAAAATGATGATTTAGGATAATATACCAGGTGCAAGTTGAGGGTTTTTTTTTATTTTATTTTATTTTCAACCAACCAGGAAATGGGTACAAAATTTAACTTGCAAGCACCACCCAAATAGAAGAAAAAACAATGGGTGACAAAAGAGCAGCTAACAACACAAAACCAAAGCAAGTGCAAGTTGAGTTATAAAACACTTATTAATGCACAATGCAAACCAATCACATGGCACTAAAGGGTATAGCTTACATGTTTTTTTATTGACACTTGACTCTATTGATGTGTTAGGACAACAACCCCGACGCAATACTATATTAGTGTTGCCCCTTATCATATATAGTGGATCCCTCTTTTATTATTATTTTATTTTGAATTGTATACATCGCGTGCTCTCTTTTTCTTTCATCTCTTTGTCCATATTACTTGTATGTTATATGATTTGAATTCAAAATATTTATTTAGTACTGTTATGAGAAATTACATGTATGGGTAGTTGGCTATTCATAAATAATCAAGATATAATTTATACTATTTTCTTAATTTTTCAAGAATGGATCCCACTAACCTATTTTGAAATTGAATTTTTAATATATTTTTTGGTATATTTGAATTTTATTTTGATCTTAAGTTGTATAATGGGAGACAACCTTCTTTCATTTTATCTTGCCACTTAAATTTGAAACTTTTTATTTATAATAGAAGGAGATTATCATTAAATTATTTAAATTGTTGACTAATATGTTAAAAGTTAATTACTTAATATGACTAGAGTTTGACCCTTAACTTTAACACCAAATTAAAAATTTTTAATTAAAAGATTTTAAGTTGGCTACCCTTATTAGTTTCTTTATATCTTTTAATAATGTAATTGATTAATTCGAAAGTTAAAAAATAATGAAGCCCATGGTTTTATTTTCTGCCCCTAAAAAGGAAACCACCTAGTGAAGGTAGGAATACATGAATTTTCTATTAATTCATATACATAGACCTGCACCATATCAGTTTATTAATAAATAATATTTTTTACTGTTAAAAAAAAAAAAAAACCCCATATCAGTTTGTGAGGAAATATTTTCTTTTCCCATGCCAGCTGGCAGCTGCTATATATTAGTTCTACTAGTAAAAATTAGCACAAGATGTTGTTTTACAATTTTCGTTCCATGCTTATTATTTCTAACCTCAGTTTGATGTTTTAAAGTGCAAGATAAATTTAAAAAACATCTTCTAAATACCAATGTCATGTTGATTTAAGTAAAAAGAATTCGATCTTTTTAAGTAAGATTTTAAATTCGAGTGTTGTAAATAAAAAAATATATATTAAGAGAGTTTCTCCTTTTATAAAATCCAATATAAATCGATTTTGAATTAATCGAAACTCTATATAACTTTTACATAGCGAAAATTTTAGTAAAAAAAAAAAAAGACCCTCTAAATTAGCTTATCTTATAACATTTAAATTTCACTTAGGTTACAGACAGTTTAAGAGTCAGTCAATGGAGACCACTGGTTATGTTTTTCAACTCCCTATACTAGTTCTAGATCATATATAGGCTTATAGCCATCCAAGTAAAGGCAGATTTTTTGTTTAAAAGCAGATGACTTATTGTCTGTATTTTGGATCCTCTTATAGTCTTAATGCATTAATTGGAAAGGAAATGAAAGCTTTAACTGAACAATGTGGACAACCTCACCAATTAAGCAAGTCATAATTGTTAGGCAAAACCCATTAAAGGAAATATATAATTAAAACAAGGGGGAGCATATTACAACTACTTTGTCAGGCAAAAATCGAACCCACCCAACAAACAGACTGTTAGGCAACCTAAGTGAAAATTCCGCTGTGTCACCGAGCATCTGGTATCCCAAATCCACATTAGGTTTATCCCAACCAATAATTATACTTCAAAACCTCTATAATGTCAAATGTCTTTTTAAAGTGCCACTCATTTGAAATGGTCAAATATTTTTATTTTGGTAAGAGAAAATAAAAAATTAAGATATTTTGATATTAAAAATATTAAAATATTTAATTATAATTATTAATTAAATAAGTGAGACATAATATAATCTTAATTGAGACCCATCCAACTATACATGGTTTGACATCAGACATTTTAATTTTCCTTCCCTTTTCTATTTTGATAATTTGGATTGTCCAACAAAAAAAAAAAAAGGTTTTGAGGGAAAGAATGAGTTTTTTAACAAATCAAAAATATTATAATTTGATTGATAAAAAAATTCACTCCGCCCTTTACCTCCTTATATTCCCCGCAAACCAAAAAAACCCTTAATCTCTCTCTCTCACACGCATATATATAAGGTTAGTGTATATCAGTCTTGATTCTAAAAAGAATTAGAGTTTTAACTTATATTTAGAAATTAAAAT